GTTATTCCTCTGTACTAGTAATGAAGAAATTTAAAAGAAAATTTCTAATTTTGTTTTGAAGTTATGTTTTAGATTATTATTTCCATTTATTTATAGTAACATGTGCTTATATAGAGTACAGGGTATGGATTACTGATCAGTTATTATACTGGCCTTTTAGTGTAATAGTTGACACTACTGTACTAGTGTTAATAAGGATTATATTCTGTCAGTCTTTATGTGTCCTACAATCTTTGAGCTTAGTGTTTAGCACTCTACTAATACTGTTCTATATAATAATAGTTCTTAATCTTCTTAACAAATAACATTATTTTGTACTCTTTTCAAATGTTACTAATTAAGTATTTTTTTTACTAATAACAAATACTACTACTATTATAAAACCTGTAAAAATAAACTGGATTCTGTTAAGTTAAGAATTAGTATAACTATATTTTTTCTAAAATTCTTACAATTATAAAAACAAGTTATCTTCTTTATAAATTTGTTAACAGTTATTTTAAAGTATACAGTATTCTCTCTACTTAAGACTAAAGTCTCTTTATTATTTTAATAAATATTTATAAAATGTTTAAATTTAGTATATAGTAATATATTAAAAAACACATTAATATTTAAATAAAGTTAGTTGTTTAGAATTCTGTAATTAGTCTCTTAATTTTTTTCATATATGTAACCTCTAAGGTTACATACATGACTTTAGTTAAGTATATAAAGGGCTATTTGTAGACACTTAGAGATTATCTTTGTACTTGCTCCTGTACTTAGGTCAACCTCTTATCAATCCTAGGTCTTTGCCTGTTCTGTGTTCTTGAGTAAGGCTCTAGCCTTTACACTTTTTTTGAACATTACAAAATTTGGAGATTACCTCTCATCTGCTACTTTTCACTCATACTACCAGATTGTCAGCCTCCCCCCAGCTTCCCCCCACATGTCTACTATCTACTGTACATCTACAGTACTCTATAGTAAGACCCTAGTTAATTACAAGTGTCACAAATACTATACAGATATTCTGTTCTCTCTCAAGGGCTTATAGAGAGATTGTTACTACCTGCTAGCCAACCTTCAATCTCCCAACAGACCCTCATTAGAGGTCCCAGGCTTCTGAGAGAATGTACTATAAAGATTGTATATAGTCATACTAGAGTAGAGTGTATTGTACATTATTGTGAGTCTAGTCAGCTATCTACAATTAAGGTTCTACCACTTGAGAATATACTTTACTGTACTACTTTAAGCAGATTATCTACAGATACTTTACATTAAAATAACTCATAAAAGTACACTATTATCTTTCAAAACAAATGCTTGATATTACTGAGCTAAGAAAATGTATTATAGTACTGTTTACACACAGAAATAAGACAGTTGAGTGTTGTGAGTTAATATTACATGACAGCTCTAAACCTTCATGTAATGTACTGTAGTAACCATACTAACTATAGTACTCATACTAGTACTTTTTAAGTTAAACAAGGTTGTTATATAGTATTAAAATGATTTAGTATATAAATGGGTGACTTCCTGTAAGCATATTTAGCTTTTTTCTCAAATCCTAAACTGCTGGGTAACATTAGTTGAGTGTAAGTAAGAGTAAGCAAAGTAGGAACCAAATAACACTCACTTTTTACTACACTCCAAAATTGAGAATCTGAAGGAGGGGTCTGACTGCTCTCTTCAGACTCAACACACAAGAAATCCTATCCTAAAGAGAGTACTCAGGGAGTATGAGTCACTAAGAATGATAAGCTATAAAGAATGAAAGAAAGAAAGGTCAAAGATAAAGGTACAAAGAATGAAGGGATAGACAAAGGGTAAGAGACTATAGAATGAACAAAGAATGAAAGGGTGGTCAAAGGAACAGAATGATAAAGTAAGGAGGGGTAGTAGTAAGAGTTAGTACACATATAGTTTATAGACAGCACCTCTGAGGGACAGAAGTCCTGAGTTCTAGTATAGAAGGGTGTAGAACCTTTAGAACTGAAGGTGTAAGAGTAGAGAACTGTAACACTAGTAATAGCTTACTTGAGGGACTCAAACACAGACTGTTACTGATCACCCTATTACTAAGAAACATCTTTACTAGTAAGATCATGAAGGGGCTGGGCAATAGTACTAAAGTCTTAAATAAAGTGTTAGTAGTAGTTTGCAAACCTAAGAAATACTTAGACTTGTTTCAGGTTCTAAAGTTGTAACCAGTTCCAAACTACAGTTACCTTTACTAGATCTATACAGACCTCTCCTCTACTAATCACAAAGCTTAGATAATCTACTGACTCTTGTGTAAAAGAACACTTTACTTTTTAGAGGAACAGTTTATTATTTTAGAGCTACTATAGAACTGCTCAGATTAGTTAGTAATAGTACTCAACTGTTTAGGTGAAGATTAGAATGTTGTTCAGATACACACTAACATGCTCCAAGTTAATCAGATCTGTAAGGATGTGATTCATGAATGACTAGAATGTTGTAAGCAAGTTAGTTAGTCTGAAGAACATTATAGTTAGTTTGTACAATCTATAATTAGTTTAGAACACAGTCTTCTACTTATCTCTGTCTTAAATCCAAATGTTATTATATTCTTATTAAATGTCCAACTTAGTGAAAACCCTGAATGTATGTGTCTTATTAATGAGCTCCTGAATTAGAGGGAGTAGGTACTTGTTTTTAATAGTACTCTTATTAAGACAATAATAATCCTAAACTAGGTAGAGCTTCCTGTCAGCAACAGTGTAGAGGGGACCTGAAGGCTCAGTGAGGGGACCCAGGCTACAACTATCCTACACAACAGAAATACAGGATGTAAGCACTGGAACATAGTCAGAACTTGCAGAACAGGCAGAGAGAGAGAGTGAGACAAGAGTAGAGTATATAGAGTGAGCCTAAGAGTACAGGACTACCTGGAGTAGACAAGATCAAGACTACAGGACCAGTCTGA